GACTGAGCGCCCACACAACTCACTGTTCGCACTCTGGATCACCCTGGATGTCCCACACGCAACACTCGGTATCACACTTCACACACACACATGCTAGGCTACAGCTATGGCAGCGCTAGCTGCCACTACCTATCGCTGCACTCTACTCCTCTGCCCACTTCGTCTTCGGGCACTCTGCAGACCTCCTCGCACAAGGTGCTAGGCAGCGCTTCCGCATGGCATCCGCAGGAATGAATGTATGAATGGACGCAGCCTCTTGATTTATGCTTTTGTGCTGCATTGGTCTGCCTTGTGTCCCTGGCCCATGGTGCACACAGTTCCCCCCCATGGTACTTGCTGGACCGGACTGGTACTTTCTAGACTCTCTCCAACATGGGCTTGCTTTAGTCACACCACTTGCCCACTTGCCTGCACCACTTGACCACTCGCCTGCACCACTTGACCACTTGCCTGCACCACTTGACCACTTGCCTGCACCACTTGCCAACCTTCTAGAAGGACTGCAGCTAGCCTTCTAGTCTATAGGTCTACGGATCGAATCCTGGCTACCTATAGACCTACGACAGACCTACCTACCACTGGCGGTTYTACAGGTCRCAGGTTCAACTCTTCGAGTTGACGCTGGTATTGTACACAGGTAAGTTGGGAAACTAGGGATCGAGCCCTGGGATCTACCTCAGCTACCACGAATTGGTGAATACCGTTTCATGTGGCGCTTCTTGCACACGTTTAACCATAGCGCCGTAGACAGGATCTGTGGAATACGCATTCCTAATTTTATCTTGCAAGTCGGTGCCCATATCTAAGTATGTCACCATGGCGCCGAAAAAGTCAGATCTTCGACTTAGCGCGTCAGCAACAACGTTGTACTTACCCTTAACTGGCTTTAACTCAAATCATATTGATCAATCTCTGCGGCCCACCTGGTCAATTTAGGTGTCATCAGGGCCTGCGTTTTAAGCTAGCGAAGCGTCTCATGATTTAAAGCCTCCCGAAGAGTACAACTCTCTTTCATACGTGGAAGCGACGACCTTCTCATTAGGCAGTCATCGAGACGTAAACTCTACAGGTCTGTACCCATTTCCATCATCTTGCTCGAGTACAACACCTATCCCATACTGACTGGCATCGGTCGTAACAACAAAGGGCAAGGAAGGGTCAGCAACCTTCAAAACCAGGTAGTTAATCAAACATTTTTTTAAACGCTTAAATGAAGCCGTACAGTCTGAGTCCCACTTCCAGATTGTTTCTTTCTTGAGCAATCTGCGAAGGGGCGCAACAATTATCATGAAGTGTTTATGACGAACTTCCGATAATAGTTGGCCAGCTCGAGAAACGACCGCAACTCAGTTAAAGTGTGGGGGTTAGGCCAATCGCGGACTGCTGCAATTTTTGCATCTTCCGGTTTGATCCAATCACCATAAAGTACATGCCCCAAATACAAAACCTGACACTTGGCCCAATCACACTTCTTCGGGTTTAACTTCAATTTTGCCTCACGCAATTTAGTTAGCACAAGTGGAAGGTACTCGCAATGTTCACTCGGATTCTTACTAAAAGTCAAAATGTCATCAAGATATATAACACCGAATTTATCAAGCCATTCGCAGAAAAGCTCATTCATGGTCCTTTGGAAAGTTCCGGGTGCATTTGTAAGACCAAAGGGCAACACTACGAACTCATAGTGCGCGTACCTTGTTCGAAAGGCAGTCTTATATTGGTCCTCCGGCTCTACCTCAACCTGATGATAGCCAGACTTCGAATCAATCTTAGTGAAGTACTCGATCCAACAAACCGTCTATCCTCGGTAATGGCTCACCATTTTTCACTGTTATATCATTAAGTCTTTTATAATCTATACACATGCATACATCGTCGTCTTTCTTTGGCACAAATAGCACAGGCGCACCATAGGGCGAGGAGCTAGGTCTTATCCACCCCTTTTCCAGCAATTCATCAAGCTAGGCTCACGGTTCATCTAACTCTTTAGGTGACATCCGATATATAGGCCCCTTAGGAATCGAGCTCCCTAGTATGATTTCGATGCGATGTTTGATTGGTCGTTCTACCACACCGCTTGGGGCCTTTGGCACATCTGCGAATTCTTTCAAAATCTTTTCAATCTCACGGGATTTTGCCTCTTCTTTAGCTTCACCCACTTTCACAGGGCGCACATACGCAACAAAAACTTGATCATACAGGTTATACTTTTTCACATGGCGGGCGAACGCGGGGGCACTCGTACAACAATGAGCTAAGCTGCTTTCCTTACCTGATTCATGAAAAAGGCAGATTTTCTTCTTTCCACCTTGCGGACTAGGGAGCCAACACTCATGGACCCTTAACTTCACATCCGCATCAGCAGCTTCACCCCAATCCATGCCTAGGAGAATGTCAAAAGGAAGATTATCTTCCACCAAGAGAGTCAGAGAGTGGAGAACGCGTTCCACCTTCCCCTCTGCTTCGAGCCGGAAGTATATCTTGACCCCTTCAACATACTTATCCATAATGGTAACAGTACTATTAGCTAACTTACTTACTACGGGCTCATCTAATTGCTTTACCTTAAGCCCGAGACGCAGCTTTTGCAAACCTTTCTTACTTATGTAGCTGTGTGTTGCCCCTGTGTCAACCATTCCACCAACTAAAACTTTATTCACTTCAAGATCCACCAACTCTACTATTAACTGTCCTCTTCGTTTTTTCATTTCAGTCCAGGCTTGGCGACGAGCGGCCAACTCATCACCCATGCCAACGAGGGATCCACCTAGAGAGGTACAAACACTGACTACCTCCGGACAATGTACTAGGTGGGGACTGTCGTCCTCTTCAGTCTCTGCCAGTGAAACCTTCGGATGGGAGGATGTTTTTCTTTCTACATCTGAAGTTCTCGAAGAGGCAACCGAGACCCCTACTGGCTGTTCCCTTTGACTACCTTGTAGTCAAGGCAGTAAGGAACAATGTGGTTGGGGTTCCCACATTTTAGACACTGGTCGGCAGCCTTTCTCTCCTGCTGGCTCATCTAATTGCTTTACCTTAAGCCCGAGACGCAGCTTTTGCAAACCTTTCTTACTTATTTAGTGCGTTTTGCCCATGTGTCAACCATTCCACCAACTCTAACTTTAACTGTCCTCTTCGTTTTTTCATTTCAGTCCAGGCTTGGCGACGAGTGGCCAACTCATCACCCATGCCAGCGAGGGATCCACCTAGAGAGGTACAAACACTGACTACCTCTGAACAATGTACTAGGTGGGGACTGTCGTCCTCTTCAGTCTCTGCCAGTGGAACCTTCGGATGGGAGGATGTTTTTCTTTCTACATCTGAAGTTCTCGTAGAGGCAACCGAGACCCCTACTGGCTGTTCTCTTTGACTACCTTGTAGTCACTGCAGTAAGGAGCAATGTGGTTGGGGTCCCCACATTTTAGACACTAGTCGGCAGCCTTTCTCTCCTGCCAAACTTTCTCTGTTATCCCCAGTTGCTTCCAAGGCTCCCATTCGGGCACCTGGATGGAATGGATATGGTTTATCCCAATTTGTATACCACGTGCCTCTTCCGCCTCTTCCTCTTTCCCAGGTAGAATATGAACCTCGACCACCTTGGGAGGGACCATTGCCCCTTCCACCGACGTAGTAACTTCCTTCGCCACCACCCCTCTGGGTACCGAGTCCTTTTCCACCGCATCCATGGCCTCCTCTTCCTCGGCCGCGTCCTCTTCCTTGTCGCCCTCCCCCGCAGGCTGCAACGGCCGCATAGCTCCCCTCCTGAGCTACGGGACCGATGGGTCCTTCCTCGAGATCATAATCTATCTGGTCATAGGAAAGAGTTTCAACACCGCCTTCTTCAAAGGTCAGGAGGAGGTTGTCTTTCCCGAGTATATTCCCTGAGATTGTGCGGTTCTCCCATCTTTTCCCCACCTGCAGATCTTTCCAATAATGGCAGTAATTTGCTTCGGCTAGAAAGCCAGCATGATCTATCGCGATCTTGCTGAACTTCTCATAATAGGTCATTCCTTCCTCCTTTGTTCGAGGGTAGAGCTGAGTACGTGTGGATGCACTTTTCCATTTCCTGTCGGCCATATTTAGAATTAACGTTTCAGTTCTTCTTGCCAAATTTTAATCTTCGAACCGCTCTCTGACGGCGTTAAAGAAGTCTTCAATTCTCGTTTGTTGAGAGTATTCAACCATGGTCTGGCAACCAGCTTCTTTTTGCAGTGAAATGGCGAAACTCATCGCCTCCGGCCATACATGAATTGGCCATGAGAACTCGGTCCCAATACGGAATGCGCTGTCCGTTGACGTCAGACTCCACTGCTGCAATCCAGTATAAGACACTTTCGTCCTTTTTCCCCATATACGTCCATGGGATTTTTACTTTAATCTTTCTAACATCCTAGTTTCCTCCTGCTTCACTCTCTTTCCTTTCCTATCACCGTCTCCGCCATCTCCATTTCCGTCTCCTCCGCCTCCTCCTCCGCCGCCTAATATTTTCTTGGCCACGGCGGGATCTGCCAATCTCTTGGCCAGCTGCTCATCTAGACTCTCTATACAAGTGACTATATGTTTGTCCATTTCTTGTGCGGATATTTGCAAGAAGTGGTTCCAGACCCTTTCGAACTCAAATCGGTGTTGTTCGAGGCCCTGGACATTTTTAGTTAACACCGCCAGTTGTTGATTGGTGTGGAGGAGTGTATCAGTAACAAGGGAACGTCGATCGTCAATAGCAGGTCTTTGTTCTTGCGCCTTCTGTTCCTGCAATTGCCTCTGAGGTCGCTCCCCTTCTTTTCCTTCAGTCTTTTCTTTTCGTCGAACTCGTCTTTTTGCGGCTACCATTTTGTTACTTAATTCCGCTTTCTTCTCTTGAATGCGAAGCTCTTTTTCTGTAGGATCTTCTGTTGCAGCTAAGAGTTCCACAAACGCATTTTTATCCTCTTCTGACTCAACATACATGGGAGTCCTATACCCATACTGATCAAGCCAGTTCATGTTCGCGGGCTGAAGGGTGATGCCACTTGGCCTGCTGGACTCCCCTCGTTCTGCCTGACGACGATACAACCTCTCACCATTTTCCTCTTCTTCTTCTTCTTCGTCTTCTTCTTCTTCTTCAACGGCTTTTAGCTCTTCCTCTAGTTTCCTTTCCTTTTCTTTCATTTCTTTCTCTAACTTTTCTCTTTCTTCTTTCACTCTTTACCTCTTCTTCTTTTTGTTTCTTTTTCTGTTCTTTTTCCTTTTTCTTTTCAGCCAGGCGGCTATCCACTTTTGCCTGCTCCGCCAACGGCAACCCCTGCTTAATTTTGCCTGATCTTGTTTCCATCATACGGGCGGTACACACTCTCCCAAAGCCCAGGGGAAAGAAAACTCAGAACAACGGGCCAAACAGAACAGAAAGGGCAATCAAGCCCTGCATCGGAAAGTCATCCACCATGGTGGAACCTAGCACAGGGAACCCTCCGCTGGTCCCACCAGGTAAGCCTCCCAACTGTTATCCTTAGGCTACTCTAAGTGGATGGAATACAGCAACTTTGCTTTGTCTGTTTATTTTTTGTTTTCTTTTTCCCAAACTGTGGATGTCGCTGCCTTAATTTTTTCTTTTCCTTCCGCTGTCTAGCTTCAACTTCAGATATTGCACTGGTCAAAGCAGGTACCACGCCTGATCTTAGTCAAAGGTCCACCCTGGTTGTACTAATCATTGTCTGGTTCTCTTTTTTCTTTTTCTTCTACTCACCCTGTCTGTCTGTCCTCATGCGCAGGGGGAACTGGAGTGTTGACTATGTCATTTGCCTGGACAGTATCTCGATCACAGATTATCTCTGCCCAGTTCGGTTATGCCTTGCTCCTTGCTTTCAACTGACGTGGCAGACTGCCACCACCTCCCAGCGTACTCTTATCTTTGCTACAGCGCCGATGTCAGACCAGAGGGAAGAAGATAGTTCAAACAAGGGTTCTGACCACCCCCTTGACTCTGACGTGACCAGACCCTCTATCTCTATTCGACCGGACTGTACACCAGGTGACTCGACTTGACAGCAGCAGTGACCCCAGAGACGGAGAGAAGTAGGGACATACACACACATGCAGCCAGGTAAGGGGATGAGGAGTTCTCTCTTTCGCAGCTTTCGTCGATGAAGACTCCTCGTCGCTCCGCACTCCAATGCTCCACGCGAGGTAAGTATCTCTCCTTAGCCCCTTCCCCTTCGGCCTACTCCTCTCTCCTATCCCAATCCACTTCTTCTCACACTTCCACCATGGCCAGCATCTTCATCAGGCCAGCGCACTTCCTCTCTCGTCGGCCTTGCTCATGCCAGCGCAGTGAGTGCAACAAGTATCTGCTCCGATACCAGAATTGCAAGGAACCTGAGTGTTCACAGCTTGCTCGAGAGCATCAAACCGCATGCATACATGTCATCACACGTACAAAGTGGCCTCACACAAAACCAGATTGAGATGAGATAAGAACCAAGTAGCGCAGCTTATATTATCAATGTCACTTAATACAAAGAGTATCACGAGTTCCAGAGTTCAGCGCCAACAAAAAGGTAAGTCCCCCTCCTCATACAACAGCGTGGGACCTGGCTCATCCAATGCCCTTCTTCAGATCACATGTGTGGCGCCAACAGGTAAGTGTTCACCATATCCAGACTCACTCCCCGCTTTTCTCTCTCTCTTGCTCTCTCTCTTTAACTTTGTCTTGGTTGTCTTCCCTATACTATGCATGCACACTCCCACCTACAAAGATCTACTCTGAATGTAACTCACTGATATCCCACTACTAACTCTCTCCTACTACTAAGATAGGCTGGCGCAGCTATGGCTTCCCTGCAGCCAGCGTCCAGCCTCCCTTCTTCCTGGCGCAGCTCTTCTTCAGCCAGCACCTCTCCCAGCACTATAGCGCAGAAGTGCATCAGCACTTCCACGCATCAATGCCTATGGGAATCTGCCTGGGGGGGGAAGCTGCCTCGTTTCTTATAGTGCTGGCCTCCCCTGGCGAGGTCTGAATTCTGCCTGTCCTGGTCCTTTCCCAGTCCCAGCCTCTGTGTATGTGTCCCAAATCCCTTTCCTTCAAGGGTTGCTGCTGCGGCGGCCTTTAGGGCTGGATTTTGGACTCCCAATCTGAATCTAGACTTTCTTTCTGATTCGAATACGGACTGGAACTTAACTCTTTGACTTCTATGGACAGACACACCCAATGCACGAACAGACACTCCTTCTGCACGAACAGACACATTGACTGCACGTACAGACACATCCCTTGTCTGAGTAGATACGAATTGCATTGCCTCTGGCCAACAGATGTGACCCACAAATCCAAACATGACGACTGTTCGTCCAAGGCTCAACCATGACCTTTGACATTGTCTTTACTTTAGCCAGGATGTGACCTTTGACCCAAAGAACATGTCTTTTGATCTGCTTTCACGAATTGGACTGGCGAGGAACCCCAATATGCTGCTTTTTTTGAATAGGGGCTGAATCGGGTAAAGGCCCTTTTAATATTTGCAGATATGTCCCTCACGGATTTTCCCTACAGGTAGGTCTCTCGGTTAGCCCTCCGCCAAACAAAATTACAAATCTAACCTACTGCTGTACTGTACAGCCTCGCGGTCAGTCTCGGCAGTCGAAATCAGCAAGTCATTGCAGAGCAGCATGTGTCAGAAACACTTCCTGGACAGTGTAGAAAACTCTTCAGCCTCCCGTCCTTCATCCACTTGATACCCTCCACCCCTCCAGCGTCTCTCTGCCCTCCGTCCACAAACCTCCTCTCAACCATTTCCAAACTCCAACCTCCACCCGGCCTCCATGCTCCCTCCGCCAAACTCCCTCACCCTCTGCACCCATCCTACTGAACTATGGCAACCTTTCACCCCTTCCACCCTCCTCTCACTGTCCCACCCTGCTCGTACACATAACACTCCTTCCTGACTGCACCTACTCCTGAACTCTGGCAACCCTTCACGCCTTCCACCCACCTCTCTCCCAGGGCGGATCTTCTGCCTCCACTGTGCCCACCTTGCTCCTAAACTGACCCAACCCCACTCCACCGCTAGACCGACCCCCTTCCACCCTCCTCCCACAGTGGACAGATCCTCCTCCACTGTGCCCACACTGGTCCTCAACTGACAAAACCCTCCTTCCCTACGCCGACCACCCTCCATCTTCTTCATGCTCTTCCTCCTGCCCTCTCTCTCTCTCTCTCTCTCTCTCTCTCTCTCTCTCTCTCTCTCTCT